AAAAAAAAAAAAAAAAAAAAGAGCAAAGGACCTGAATAGATATTTCTAAAAAGAAGACATAAAAATGGCCAACAGATATTTGAAAGGTGTTCAACATTACTAATCATCAGGGAAATGCAAATCAAAACCACATGGAAATATCATCTCACACCTGTTAGGATAGCTATTATCAAAGAGATAAGAGGTAATTGTTGATGAGGATGTGGAGACAAGGGAACCCTTGTGCACTGTTGGAAGGAATCTAAATTGTTATAGCTATTATGGAAACAGTATGGAGGTTTCTCAAAAGATTAAAGACAAAACTATCATATGATCCAGTAGTCTCACTTCTGAGTATATATATTCAAAGGAAATTTAAAATCACTGTCTCAAAGAGATATCTATACTCCCTTATGCTAAATGAAATAATTCAGACACAGAAAGACAAGTATCGCATGATCTCACTTATAGGTAGAATCTAAAAAAGTCAGACTCCTATGTAGAAACAGAGAGTGAAGGGTGGTTACCAGGGGTGGGGTGGGGAATAGGGAGATGTCAGTTGAAGTATATTAGACTTACACTTACGAGATAAATAAGTTCTGAAGACTTCACGTACAGCATGGTGACTATAGTTATTAATAAGCATTATATACTTGAAATTTGCTAAGAGAGTAGATTTTAGATGTTCTTACCACAAAAAGAAAAGGTTAACTGTGAGATAATGGATATGTTAATTTACTTGACTGGAGTAATCATTTGACTATAAATATATATATATACACACTAAACTAGCATGTCATATACCTTAAATGTAGATAATAAAAAAAATTAAAGATAGTGTATATATTTTTTTACAGAGCAATTCTTTCACCTCCTAGCTTTTTAAAGTATTTGCATATGTGCATTAAAATGTGTGTATGAGGATATTTATTGTAGCATTTCTAGGTAATGATGGAAGATTAGAAACAACCTTAAATGCCAGTCAAAAAGGGAATGGTGGCTGGGCATGGTGGCTCATGCCTGTAATCTAGCACTCTG